TTCACCAGCTCTTGGGTGAAAATATTGTGTCACCTTCATGGCTGCTGGTGGCAGTATCCTTCCAACAGCCCTCGGGGAGGCATAAATCATGGGTTTAAGCTGCATTTTGTAGGCACAGACAGAAAGAGATTTCATGAGAAAACTTAGGGGGACAGGAAAAAGGATGGCTGTAGCTCTCTTGAAGGGCACGGTGATGACTCGCCGTGGTTGTCTGGGCTTCAGGAGGATGTTCTGTGGCGTTTTGATGTCTGTTCTGCTGCACAAAACCTGCAGCTCCCTCCCTCTGTCCTGCAGTGCAAACAGCAGCAGCATTGCTGGGCTGTGTGCTGTCTGCTTTCCTTCCCATCCCTGCACCCTCCGCCTCCAGCGCTGCTTCAAACCATCACCTCACCGAATTTACCTCTCCTCTCAGTGACTTGGAAGCTGGGAGTTTCAGGTGGGGGTTCCCCAGCCAGGAGTATTTGCACAGGAACGTGTTGGTGGACATCCCCCTGGGCTCTGCTGGTTCTTATGTCTCTACACAGCACAGACACGCCGGGAGGGATGCTTCCTACAGCCCTGGAGCTGGTCTGGACACAGGTTTGGGATGTTCAAGTGCCCAGAAATCCTGGGCAACTGTACAAGATCCTTTCAGTCTGCCAGAATAACATTTCCAGGTGGGAAAGGACATGTTTGAGAAATGTGAACACGTAGTGGGCCTTTTCCAAACGGGTTTCTCAGCATACAACTAATAATTTGGCGCTTTTCACAGAAAAGTGAGGGCAGACAAGTCACATGTCTAACTCCTCCAAGATTTTTTTCCCCTTGTCCCATTTTTCTTCTGGGATTACAAGAGATGGAGGCTCAGATTGATTTGTTTTTCTCCTCTGGAGCAAGAACTTGGGGATTTCACTTGTACAAGCAACTTCTGTCCTGTGGAGAAAGGTCAGAATCCTTTTTGCTTTGGGTTTTTGTGTTTGGGTTTTTTTTTTGTGCGTGTTGTTTTTCCAGTTCCCAGGGCCATGGGAGCCAGGCCTGCACCATGCCATGGTGATTCCAGGTAGATGCTGTCTAGAGCAGAGCTAAAGCAGGAGTGGGGTCCCAGGGGAGATGGTCTCCATCTCTAGCTGTTTGGCCAATCCTTGCTCTAACACTGCTGGAAGAGGCAGCAGCACCCTGAGTGTTCACGGCAGCAGCTGTCTCAGATTTTCAGCCTACAATTATAAACCATGTAATTATCCTGCAGCACTGCCTGGGATTATATACGCTTAGAACTGCATTTTATAGCAGCAGTTGGTCTGGCACGATCAGCATTGATGGCTTCTGTCGCTGCAAGTGTCAGGGCCGGAGGTGGAGCAGGCGTGTGGGTGGCTCATCTGCTCTCTGGCCACCTGGGAACCGCTTGCCAGACTTTATTCTTGGCTCTTTTCTCCTTTAATCAGCTTTGTCAACTCCGTTTCCTCACCACGATGAAAGAACTGAACTGAACTGGGAAGGAGAGTCTAAGAAGACCTTGCAGACCGGTCCTGTGCAGAGGGTTTGCTTGCTTTGGTGAGTTCTGTCTTGAATTTTTCAGGGAGGAGACCCCTAGGCTGGTGGCCTGTGACTAAGGCTCTGGAGCAACTCTTGAATGATGATAATAGCAAACATTCAGCATCGGACATGGACCTGTTGGAACAGATCCAGCGTAGGTCCACAAAAATGATCAGAGGGCTGGAGCACCTCTCCTATGAAAGACAGGCTGAGAGAGTTGGGGTTCAGCCTGGAGAAGGCTCCGGGGAGACCTTATAAAGGCCTTCCAGTACCTGAAGGGGCCCACAGGAGAGATGGGGAGGGACTATTGATCAGGGAGTGCAGCAATAGGAGGAGGGGTAATGGTTTTAAACTGAAAAAAGGTACATTTAGATTAGATATTAGGAAGAAATTCTTTGCTGTGAGGGTGGCGAGACACTGGAACAGGTTGCCCAGAGAAGCTGTGGCTGCCCCATCCCTGGAGGTGTTCAAGGTCAGGCTGGATGGGGCTTTGAGTAACCTGGTCTGGTGGGAGGTGTCCCTGCCCAGGGCAGGGGGGTTGGAACTCAATGATCTTTAAGGTCCCTTCCAACCCAAACCATTCTGATTCTAAACCACAAGATTAGCACCACTGATAGCCATGGTCCCAGCACGCCCACCGGGTGTTTAACTTCACCTTCTGGTGCTGGCTTATAAAAGAACCCAGTTCCCTGGCACAGAGTGACCCAGGCACCCCAGGAGGGAAAACTCAGCAGGGCCAGACATTTACTGCTGTAAGTCCAGTCCTGCTCCCACCGCAGTGGCTTGGTGGCCCCTGAAGAGCTGGGATGGCTGAGTCCCCAAGCAGCTGTTGGCAGCAAGGGAAGGGCTCCTGGCCCCTGAGTACCCTCCCTGTTTCTCTTCAGGTGTTTTTGCTGAATGAAAGATTTGTATCAACCTTGGCTGGCCTCTCCTCTTCTTTAAATGATGCAATAAATTAGAAAGTGATAAGGGGCCAGAGGCAACATTTAAAATTCCAGTGGAGTTTCTAGGAACTGCCCGGCACGCTCCAAGCTCCTCGCAGGAGGGAAGCAGCTGGCTGTGGTGAGGCACGTACGTGGGACGACTGTTCCTCTCTGGGAAACAAACCAAGAAAGCCCTCAGAACATCTCAGGGTACATTGTCAGCTCCCCAGAGGCGAAGGTAGACGGTCCCGTGGTGAAGGCTTTCTGCAGAAGGTGAGTACGCTCTCCTTCTAGCCCCTGAACTGGCAAAGTGAGCACCAGCAAGCAAATACCCTTGTAGATATTAGTATTTTCCCTCATGGGGCTTGAAATACTGGATGAATCCATTGCGGGGGGGTTGGAACTCAATGATCTTTAAGGTCCCTTCCAACCCGAACCATTCTATGAGGAGATTTCTATAGACCCTGCTCGGTGCAGCTCCCTGTGAGCAGCACCCAACGGGGGTGAGCCAGTTCCCTGCAGGGAAGGGGGAGCATCACCTAATGATTTCTGGTGCTGGTGCTGTCTGAAGGGTGATGGAGGGTAAGCTGTGTGTCTGCAGGGCATTAAGGATGGCTTCTCCCTTAGCACTGGATGGGCACATCAGCATCTCTCCATAGCATGGGGCATTGAGGAACCAACCCCCCCCCCAGCTGTAGAGTAGAAGTCTGCAGGAGGTGTTTCCAGCAGATGTTCTGGGAGGGACAGCAGTTCCCAGTGTTGAATGTGATGCTGGAGATGGCATTCATTGTAAGAGACAGCACCACCCGAATGTGTCTGAAAACACTTGTGGAATTTTACCATGTGTGTGCGAGGAAATGGCTCTCCTGAGGTCTCCAGAAAATTTGGGGCAAAACATAGATTAAGCACCTGGTGTCCCCAGCTCTGATCCACTCCTTGGTGTGTGAGGTGACATTGCTCTCCTCTATTGCAGCTGCTCCTCTATGGACTCCGCTTGCTGAAGGTCCAGCCACAGCGAAGCCTGTCTGGGCTGTCCCTCCAACCTCTCAATAACCTCCAGGCCTGACACTGCACAGAGCTGGTCTCCACCTCGGTCCAGGATGGACACAGACAGCACAGATACAACCTTTCCTGACTGGACTTCTCCTCTTGCAGGACTCCTGCTCTCTCTCTCGGTCAGTGCATGACTCCAAGCCCAGTTCTTGGTAGCGTTGCCCTTGAGAGGAAGTGTGGGGGTTGTGTGGTCTGGTTTGTGTTTGCCATACAATGGGCTTTTTATTTTAATTAACTTCAGTGACCTCACACCGATTGGGAGACTTCTCCTACCAACGCTTCCTCTCTGTTCTGGAACTTGCTTTTCTCCTGGACGATTGCCATTTTCTGGCTGGAGAAGGGTACTAGGGTGGTAGAAAGAGCATGATACACATTTGGGAATGTGTGTGGGGGGGAAATTAACATCCACTAATGCGTGAGTGCAGCATGGGAATGTGCTGTGAATTAGCAGCCAGGGAAACAACCTAAAGGTGCTGATTGTGATCAATGACAGGAAATAAAATAGCGAGGAGCATGTTAATCATTAGCTAATCAGGTAATCCGTGTTGCTGCTCTTTGGGCTTTCTCTCCCATACACCAGGCTGGCAGGTGCTGAGTGATTCAAAGTGGTGTGTGTTGCAGCTGGCATTGGCCCCTGCTGCCAAGCAGGTGACTTCATGGGGTCAGCGGTGCAAGAAGGTTTCAGGATCTGCAGCCTTCTTCCGGCTGTGATTTACGTAGATTTACCAGTGAATTCACTCAGTGTATCCACAGACTGGTACGTCTATGTAAATCACTCAGTGAATCCACAGACATGATCCTCATGTCATAGAATCAGAATGGTTTGGGTTGGAAGGGACCTTGAAGATCATCTAGGTCCTACCCCCTTGCCATGGGCAGGGACACCTCCCACCAGACCAGGTTGCTCAAAGCCCCATCCAGCCTGGCCTTGAACCCCTCCAGGGATGGGGCAGCCACAGCTTCTCTGGGCAACCTTCCTTCCCTGGGAAACCTGAATTTAAGCATCTGTGTCAGGAACCCTCCCTAGTCCAAAACTCACCTGGACACCAGCTAAGAAAGGATTTTGACACCAGAGAGCACACTGCAACAAGAAGCTATGATATCACCTATGTTCTTTAAGAGTGTGTGTTTACACCATACGTTTACAATACTGGTAGGTGATCCAAAAAATTACCTCTTGCCCCTCAGACATCATGGGTGTAAGGACATTCCCTTCAGGTCTAAAAATGAGCACTGGGTAATACCCTCCATGTGGCCATCTCCCTTTGCTGTTGCTTCTAGAAGCAGCCCAGAGGTTCAGCAGAATTTGCTCATCTGAAGCAAGGTAAAATTTTTACGTTGGGACAAATGTTGCAGAATGAGATTTATCTTGGTTTTTTAAGGGTAGCTTTTTTTAAAAGGGCTGTTTTTGTGACTCAGCTGCAGGTTACTGGGCAACTACAGGTAGTTTTTGGAGAATGAGGAGGGGCTGTGTCAGGAGACAGTGAGACATTTGCAGAATACAATGTGTTGTAAAGTGTTAAGGCATTTATTAATCGTATGTGGGCAGACAACTTCACACACCCCACCAGAATTTACTGTACCGATGTCAATTCCATATTGTATTTGTCTAAGTGTTATGAATCAGCCAATATGTGACATTAATTATCTGCATTTATCCCTGTGTAAACTGACATAATGATCAATTATGGGGTAACACATCAGTAACTGTTTACCGACGTATAGAATGAGTCCCCCAGTCTTCTGAAATGTTGTGGAATTATGCTGTGCAGGCTGTATATATCTACCCAAATCCTGGTTTTGTCCAAAGGTAATGTTCTTCCACGGCAGAGAGGTGCAGGATGCATTGTGCAACCTCTGCTTCATGGGCAATGCCACGTGCAGGTGCCACCGTGGTGGGTCTCCTCCCACCACCATGTAGGGGTCACAGCTTCTTGGCTAGTTCCCCTCTTTTTGGAAATGTGTCTCTATGAAGTTTCAGGAAACTGCTTTACAGCCATCTCACCTCTTTTGCTTGCCCATAACTGGAAAATGAGGTATTTATCTCATGGTTCAGTGACTTATGACCACTTTCAGGAAATGTTGAAAGAATGCAGGATGTTTGGTCTAAAAAAAAAAAAAAGAGAAGGAAGAACAGGCAGAAAAAAATACCTTTTGGAGTGAAGATTTCTCCAGAGGCAGTGGAAATCAAGCATTCCCCGTGCCCACTGAAAACAGGGCAAGAAAAAAAACAGGTTCATTGTCTAAAAAGACCATCTAGGATAAGTATTAGAAAAAAACTTCCTAATTATACAGAGAGATGAGTCTTTGAACAACACAAGAAGGTTTGGACTTCCCTTTCTTAAACTTCTGAAGAAGAGCTTGGGCAAGCCTTGGGCAGGAAAGGTCGAGGGTGACATCTACAGTGGATACTCTTGAAGGAGATGATCTGTGATTTTAGGATTCAGGCCTAGAGGCTGACACAGTCGTGGAGCTGGAATAACCCTTGTGTGATGATGACCAGCCACCCCACCCCTCAGAGACTCCTCAGGCAGCAAAGGATTCGTTGAGCTCAAAGGGGCAGCGCAGAGCAAAGGAGTCCCATAGCAGCTTTGGAGGAGAGCTCCCAAGGAACGTCTTTTCTTCCATTTTCAGCCTCTGTAGTTCCAGAACTGGGGTTTCCCTCTGTCTTTATGCAGATTTCAGCATGAACAGGTCTCTGAACAAAACTGAAACAGAAATATCTAAAAGTAATCCTTTCCCACCTTGCAAAATACACGCTCCAAACACTCATATCTCAAAACCAGAAGAGACAGGCTGTGGAAATGTTCAATCTGGAAATTAATCTTTTGAATAGGAGCTGAGTCTGAATAGACTGTATAAATATTTGTATTTATAATGATTTTTTTTTAAAGTCCAGCCTGGATTTTAAAGGATGTATACAAACCACATTTGTCAATTTTTCTACTGGTGCAAGTGGCACCAACGCTGATTTTAGGGAGTTACTACTACGCTGCTGTAGTAACTGACTTGGCCTAATTCAATTGGAAGCTGGACAAATACCTTCTTTGGGCCAAATCCACCTTAATCAAAGCTTATATAAATCTCTTAATATCAGTAATCCTATGCCTGCTAAACCCAGTAGTTATTTTGGTTGTATCTGGCAAGATGAAATTATCTGTACTCAAAACCAGTGACTCGGTTGATTGCCACATCATTGAATATTAATACAGTCTACTTTGCAGCAATATATATGTATGTAAATATGCCCCCACACAAACATGTACATATCCATATAGAGAACAGGTGTGTGTTCTGCATACAAGCAGTGTCACACCATGTTTCTGTGAGCAACAGAGGTCACTGTCGTACAGGACAAAGCTCCCCTTTGGCATCCAGGAAAGGCACCCCTGCAGGCAGTTCTGTATCAGGCACCAACACCTTTTGGTGTGATATTAGCTGAAAATCAGCCATGTTTGTGTGATAGCAACGGAAGTCAGAGAGATCCACAAACAAATATTTACAGGACATGTCCTTGTTTGGGAAAAAAAAAGAGCACTGGCTCTGGAAATGCTGTGGTAGTGGTGACATCCCCGTGGTAGCATCAAAACTCTTCCACTGAATTCTGTTTGCTCTGGGCTGAGTGCACACACCGTCCTCTACAGCGTTTCTCTCCCCAGTTTTCCCAGCTATCTTTACCAGTAGCACTTTCACAGAGCAGGCCAGCCCTCCTCTCTCACAAATCCATTCATTCAGTCTTCACTGAGGGTTTCTTTTGGCTGCCTATGAAACCAAGGGTGCTCCAGACACATTTCTTTTCTCCAGCCTGATCTTTTTCCTGTCATCCCTTGAATGTATTTTTGTGGTTGTAACACAAAAATGACATAACACAAAAGGAGGCCCCCCTGAATCACTACACAACACTATTCACCAGCCTCCCTTCCAATACCACAGCTAAGGGGAAGCAGGGGAATATATTTGGCTTCGTTCCAAATATAAGTTGTTTCCACACCCCTAACTGATGAGGAGTTCAGTATAAATCAATGTACTCAATGTAAAGAGGTGAGCAGAGGCGTGAACTCTCTCTGAGGCTTTCTACTCAAGTACAGAGTATACACAGTGCCAAGGAAATGATTTGGCCTGCAGGTTTTTTCATGTAACTGAAATACATGCCAACATGAAATAGAAGCCAAACATGTGCCATTCATGTCAACAAAAACAAGTTATTAGGACATACAATGAAAATTAAATCCACATTCTCTATTCTTTGTACTTCAGCAACAAAAGATATCTGGCAGCTCTAGAAGATAAAGATTGCCTCCATACACTATATATCACATTAGTCTCCCTGATCTTTTCTCTTGAACTTTGGCACTTACTTAATCATTGAGGTCTTTTTTCAGGAACACGAGCAGCCTTTAACATGGAAGACACCCGAATGTGGAATCCTACATACAGTAAGTTTCACCTTAAAAAAAGAAAAAAAATAAGAGAAACTTTCAAAGCTTGTTATATCTGACCAACATTTGCGCTACCGTCTGACTTTTGTATTTTAACTAGCTAAATACAAATACCCTGTTAAGAGATGAGTATTTTTTTCTTGCTGAGACTGGCTTTCTTTTCCTTAGATTGCAACATCATCTGATAACCTCGACTTTCTCAGCAGAACTTAAACAGGAATGTGTTCAGGTATGGGTCAGGGATACTGAAATATGAGGAACTTATGTGTCAATGTGTAGCAGATCACAGGGGTGTTAAGGCACCACTTGGAAATCTCCCACATTCTTCAAAAAAAAAAAAAGTGGTATCACACAAGGAGATGGGTGGTGCTTGAGGAGGGCTCTCCCAGGAGGGCTCTAGCCTCCATACCTAAAACCACTGTAAGCAGCTACACACCTGCTGGAGGCAATTGTTTATTTCCCAAAGTTTGCAATCATGTGCCTTAGCAAAAAAATACTAAGTAATTCTAATTTATGGTTGCCCAGTAGTACTTCTTGGGATTGCTCTGACTCTTTGAGATCAAGTCCTTAAACACAGCAGCGCTGATCTTGCATTCCCCAAATAGCCCAGCAACAAGAGGTGCCACATCAGAATGATGCTGAGGAGCTATTTGGTACTGAAGCTATTCATGCCAAACTGAAACCAGGGTAAACTGGTTTGGATGGGGCCACTTGAAAAGCAAGAGGCAACTTACTTTCTCGTTTGGCTTGATTCATTTGACTGTCACCTTCAGGTCTGTCAGGCTTACCTCCTTTCTTGTGGACCTGCTGATGAAGAAGTAAGCCTCCTCCACGTCCTGGGGCTGCAGATCATTCACAGCCACTATATGGTCTCCGTGGTTAAACAAGCATCCCAGCTGATGAGGACCAGTCCACTGTGACACGCTAGGGTATTTGGAGGACAGACAATAAAGGAAACACATGGGATACCCAGTTACTGCCAACAGAATGGCAATGGTCCAACAGGATTGCATTTACAGTGCTGCCCTCTGGAAATAACACACAGGTTGAGTGACTTCACAACTTTTTGATTTGGTTCTAACCGAAACCAAGCTGCTTCATCCATCCCAACGTGTCCTCCTAAAAGTGCACGTGACACTGACGTTGCAGCAGGTTAACAAGGGGGATTGGTGATAGCAATGTCACCGGTGAAAGCTGGGGATTCCAGTCCGAAAGCAGCAGGCCAGATGCACTGCAGATGTTTTAGTGCGATGCTTGACTTAGATGATTTCCAAAGTCATCCCAAATGAACAAAATTAAAACTTAGGATCATGTGTTTTATCTACTTAACTCATAGGAGTTAAGTATACATAAGGGGGTACAGAAGTCAAATAAGTGGCACTTGAAGTTCTATCCCTTGTATGTGCTTCCTAATTTTTGGCTTTATCATCAATAACAAAGAGTCATTAGCCACCTATACCAAAGCCTGCAAGATTTTTGGTCTAAAGGCCCTATTTATCCTCACAAGATACATCTCTTCACTGTATCTCTGAGACACACCATCATTAGGGTCCACCAAATGGCAGGTGAAACTGGCTAGCAGCGATTAGGTGATTTCACATCAACGTCAGAAGATTAGCTTTTGGGGTGGGACTTCATCACAAATCATTACACAGCATGGTAAGGCGTCGATTCTCTATAGCCCTTTTCAACAGCAGTTGAAATAGAAACTCCAGTACATGAAGAGTTAGAAAGAGCAGAAAGGAATCACTGAAGTTCCAGCACACACTGACCTGCCCTGTCCTGCACAGCCAAAACTGCACGTGGGTGTGTGGTGTTGTTCACTTCAGTACCTACACTGATTGTCTCTCATTCACATCTGACAAGCACCATCAGAAGACATCTAGGACTTACCATATTTGTCCTGCTGCTTCAGTAAGTTTTAGATAACTGTTAATATCAGCCAGGGGGATGGAGATATCCAACTTCTGCAGTTGGGTCTCGTCTTTAACTTGACTGTGAGAGAAAACATCAGAGACCAGGCACACTCTACCAGTACCTCAACTGAAACCCACAAAGAAGACACATCTGTCTTCTCTGCAATGAAAAATGGAGAGGACACTTACCCGAGAAGTATCGACAACTGAACCACCGAAAGTGGTAATGAGTTTTGTCTTCTCTGGAGGGCTGGCTGCTGGCTGGTGCTGCTTTCTGGGAGTTCTAGGTCTCTGTTTGCTTCCAAGTCTCTTGGACACGCGCCGTTGTTTTGGCATTTGGGAGGAGACAGGAGCTCATTGCGTCTGCACATCAACTGGCAACTCTCATCCAGCAGCCTACTGAAGAGGAATGGTGGTAAAAAAATGAACTGGTTTGGCTGTTCCAGGTGCTCTTGCTGTGTTTGAAACTGGATCAAATAGCCGTCAGTGAAGCAAAGAATAACAAGTTCTTGTAGAATATGCAGTAGACAAAATTACAGCTAAGTAAAATAAACAGTCCTTCTAAAAATGGACCATAAAGCCCAAAATAAACGTTTTCTGTATTTAAAGACTATTTATTAAGCCAGAAAACATTCTGCCTAACAACATGCCTTGACAAAGAAACTGAGTACAGATTGTTGGCCTTGGCTGTACTGGCTTCTGCAAAGATGTAATGCTGTTCTCTGGGAGATACAAGAGCTCAGATGTGCTTGAATGCTTTTTATTTGGTTGAGCCATATAATGCTGGGGGCAACTCCCCTCCACGCCCCAAACAAGACTGGGGTTAGTAGCAAAAGCTACTCGTGGTACATTTTAACTCAGGTGGCACAGGCTTGTGAGGTTTCTACAATAATTCTCCCCAAGGGCTCCCAGACACAGATGAGCTTGAAAAATTCTACCAGAATAGGCTGTTTTGTTGGTCTGCATTTCTAATTGCCTCCCACTGTGTGGCATAAGACCTGACTGTCTGTGGCTGGCAGGCTATAGCTAATGGCCAAGGAGCACTCCTGGGGCTCAGGAGGTAGACTTATACCATGTAGGCACACTTCTCTTCAGTAAAATGTACTGTATCGTGGAGGTTGTGAAGTTTCCCTGTGTCCCTACAACTGTCGTAAAAAGTTCAGGTCTTTCTTTGTCTCAAGCCAAACACTGAGCCTTCAAAGTACAGGGCATCAAACCCATTTGTTGGATGGGAAAGGGAAGGAAGGAGGTGACCTACTCATGAAAACCTATAACAAGTGTTAATAAACAAAAAGTGCTGTATTCTTCAGTCAGAGCCTGTATAAATGTGTGAGTTTTCAATGTGAGTTTAAATTTCACTTTGATGAGTTTGAATTTCACTCTGGTATTTCTGTGAGTTCTGAACTTTCTGAACCAAGACCAAAGAAGGACTCATTCAAAACTCATTCAAACAAGATGCAGCCTCTGGGTATTGTTATACCATAGATGATGGCTCTATCTGTACCATTACATCACTTTAAATTTGCAAACCTTAATAAAGTTGTTACTTACAGTGATTTCATTGACATATAAATGTTCTCCTTTGCTGGGTTCTTCTGCACAGGCTTCTCTTGCAGAGAGACATCAGACTCCGCTGTATGGTCGGGCTTTGATACTTCAGAAGTGCACTGTTGGAAACACATGACAACATAAGACAAAAATATCCTTGCCCTACCTAGAGAAAAAAATCTTAACTTCCTTATTTTGTTCATTCCTTTGCTTTTTAAACACATTGGCTAATGTACCTTGGCTTTTCCCAAATAACTCCCTTCCCAGAAACCGTGAACTAGAAAGGTGGTTCAAACTTACAAGTTAATGTTATCTGGTGTTACAGATGCTACCATTTCCTTACCTTTCAGTTCGGGACATTTCCAGCTATATTTGAAAATACTATCACAAAAATTTTGTTATGTTTTAATTTAAGCAGTTTGAAGAGTCTTGTATTTTGGGTGTGCTTAACTTAAAGCACTTAGATTATATGACAAAATCACATTGCTAATGTCCTTCAGTTAGCTGTACTGTCTTTTGGGAGAAGTTGTGACTTCTGCAGAAGCCTGACTTAGCTTCTCCTGACCACTGTATGGGAAGCCAAGAGAAATTAGCCTCCCAAACGAGGTGCCAAATTTTGTTTAAAATAACCAGTATGATTCCTCCTGTTCCCTTGTTTCACACTGAAATGCAGATACCAAAACATTTCACAGCATTTTGAAATTACTGCTTGGTTTTATGCAGCTTAATGGTGCTTCAACAGAATTACATTTTAAAGTATATAAAAATAATATACAGCCACATTTTGTAAATGAAGCTTTCACTTTTGTAAAAAAAAAACAACCAACCAACACCCAACCCTGTGATACAATAAGCAAAAGCCATTTACAAAGAAACAGTCAATTTGGGGAATTTCAACAAAACCAACAATGTTTTTGTCAAAATGCCGCTTTCCACCAGAAAGATCCTTTGGATGACTCTAGTGTATTTTTTCTTGTACAACTGAAAGCTCTATTATTTCCTGCTTTATCTACCTAGTCCTTTTGCAAGGTACTAGTGGTTCCTCATACTGGTTCCTTTTTGGCTCATTAAATGTCTCCTGTCTCCTTGGAGCTCCCAACAAACCAGCAGAACCCACAACCGATAACCCACCTTTGCTAAAATACTGCTGGGAGTTTGGTAATAGTCTTCTTCATCCTTTTTGGCTTCTTCATCTGTATCTGACGACAGCAGATTTTCCTCACTCTTTCCCACATTGTCATCCTGTTAAAAGAATGGGTTTGTACTTAACAAGTTCAGTTATGCAGATTTACATGGAAAAATAAAGGGTCACTTGCGCGGAAAAGACTTTTTATTTGGGCTCAGTTCTAAAGTCCTTACACTAGGAAAAACATCTGTAGGAAATCTAGAAGAGGATCAGAATATATTTGTCCTTTTTATGCACCTTTTACCTGCTACCAAGTACAGAATGAATTTGGGACTTCCCTGACGGACAAGAATTCTATTAACTCACAACTCTCCACGATCAAGAACCTCTCTCTGGAGGGCTGGAGATGAGACATTGAATTCTTTGTCCTCTGAGTGATATTCTGCCTTCATAAATACCTGAAATCCTTAGTTTGTGGCAATTTGGTATGACAAGGAGAAATTACTTGCTCCACTAGGTTTACCTTTCTAAGTCACAAATCTAAATTATTTAATTTTATGTCTCCTTGTTGACTTCACTATAATGAAGAGTATGGTAATGAGTATTTAGCTGCCTCCCAATGCAATCCTCCATGCCATGTTTGTTTGCAGTTTGCAGTTTGCAGTTTGCAACTGTTTTTTATCTCTCCGCTTTAATATCCTTGGTTTCCATGGTAATCATTTTAATAATTGCTAAATATGCCACAGAATATATTACCATTTTCAAGGTAAAGTAAATTAAACTAATTACTTTCTTACATGTAAAGAGAAGGAACTGGCATTGAATAAAAATTAAAGATGATGAATGTATTTTTGTTCCTTGTTAGTGTAAATGACATAAAAAGCAGCTCATGCTGTAGGAGTTGGAGCAACCCTGCAAATGGTCCTTCCAAGAATTGCAAAAAAAAACCAGAGCAGGAGCGAGCTCGGCTCTGTGGTCACGGTCTAAAACCATGAATGAATTTCCTAGGGACTTTTCAGGGGGTTTGGATCAACCAAACAAGTAAACACTTGGGGAAAAGGGGGAAGAGGAGCTGATTTTATGAAGTTTTGAGATCCTCAGTCTCCTAGGGCATCTCAGAGAGCAGATGAACACTCATCAGCTTCCCAAACAGAGCCTTAGTCACTGACAGTGGCTGCCTTTTGACAAATGCTGGGTTTCTCACTTGGCACCATCCCATATACTGGGGACAGTGGGAAGGAGAAGGTTGTCCTGAAGCACTGTGTTTCTCTAAAGAACTTTGCCAACATCTCTGATCCTCCAGGCGCAGTGCAGTTAACCTTGGTGTATAATTACTCTCAGACATACAGTTAAATGAGCACCTAAAGCATCTGTCGAACCACGGTGTGGATCTTCATCAGAGAGGAAGAGATTATGGCTGTAGAAGAAATTGGCTGTAGAACAAGATGGAAATGATACCTGGAGAACAACTGAGAAATTGTTAGTTACAGACTCCTTTGGGAAAGTTGTGTGTTGCCCTTGGACAGAGGAACTTCTCTTTCAAAATATCAGGTGTGTGTAACAGTTATTGAAGACAGACCCCTGGCGAGGATGCCTAGGTGTCTGCAATGCAGTAATGAGCACTGAGGGGTGATGCCAGTCAGGGCTCCTTATTTTGATGTATTTCAGGTATTGAAAGCCGTGTGTCAAAATAGCTGATATTGAGCTGCTGAGTCAGATGTGGTTTGGTAGCTCCAAAACGTGGGCTGAGAGGGAGCCAGGTCCCCAGAGCCCTTCAGGGTCCCTGCCTGAATGATGAGACTCAGCTGATGCTCATAAGTCTGTTTGCATCAGTGACGCTCACGGACCAAAGCGTTTCCAAGATCTGGGCCTGGATGAGGGAACTGCTGATAAAAAGCAAAATGAATCAGATACTAGAAATGTGGAGTCATACCTCTACAGGAAGGAAATACAAGGGATTAATCTGGAAGTCAGCTGTGTAGGTATCACTGAGCAGAGAATAGATCTGGAGATGTTGCAGATGCTAAACTTATGAGGCAAGTGAAATATTTTTATCGAATGAACAAACATTTTGGTTTCTTGTTAGCTGTATGGCAAATGTTTTTGTTTTCACACCTGCTGAAGCAGAAATATGAGCTTCCTGCTATTCCCTCTGCTTCAGGCTAGAGAGGTAAAATCCAATTTCCTTATTGTTTAACCCTCATGGTCAGTCTGTCCTACTCCCAACAGCTGCATGTAATACATGATCTCTGAGGCATCGTAAGTATGAGAAGAGTTAATGTATGAGACAGAAAAGGCATGTGTAAGAAAGAGGCAGAAGGAGAGCCCTGGTATGTGTCCAGAGCAGCACTAGTTAAAATCAGACTTGATGCATTTCAGAGGTCAGACTCACAACGGAATTATTGCAGCTTCATAAAGCACTGTGCATCAGCTGAACTGTGCCAACTGCCCATAGCACTGCAGCCTACTTTCAACTATTTTTTACTACTTTCCGCTAAATTTAGTTGTATTATCTCATACTTGCTGCCAGCCTCTATACGTGGATGGTGACTGCAGCCCATGATTTACCACCCTGTTAGCTGTGATAGCAGGGCAAAGTCTTTTCCATGTTTCTCAGCCACTCCAGGTCATAGTCCAATGCAGAAACTGTTAACAAAGATGGGTTTAAACTCAGCTGCCAAACTGTGTGCTGGTGTGGTAGGGCCTTGGTTGTGCCTTCTGGTCTTTTGTTTCTGCTGCAAAGGCAGTGATCCAGGGCAGAGCAATGGTGGAAACCATCTGAAACTGCTGCAGGTGTTTGTTCAGGCAGCCCAGGTCAGAACACTTAGCCAACAATCCATGATAACATCCATCACTGCAATCTTTTTAAACCCTTCCTGCCAGATATGGAAGCTAATTTACTTGAAGTTATGTTTATGCTGACAGAAGGTCAGGCCCGAGGTGTGCCCCAATTTAACAAGCCCTTGTTCTGTAACTCAGATACATTCATTCCATTGCTGCGGGCAGAGGCTGGAGAAAAAGAAAACATTTAGGAAGAATGTGGCACAGCTGAGAAATGTGATGGGAGGAGTCAATCATCAGAGTTTTCTTGATCAAGTGCAACTTGCTACAAGTGCATCGACTGCACAGAAGTTCTCAGGATCCGCCTCTAAGAAACAAAGGGCATTCCAAGCAAATTCTTAGACAGTTATTTTCAGTGCTAAAAGAGGCAACAGAATAACCATATTTAGGAAACTTTCATAGCTAAAACCAACTCAGCGTGCTGGGAAAGCAGGTGAACAATGTATAGTCACAGATACTCGGGTGAGAAGGGAGCCAACAGTCACTTCTGTGGACTGAACAAGTCAAGAGCCGTTTGATTTGTTCTGCTCACCTGGCTTGGAAAACCTCCCCTCGGAGCCCAGTGAGGGCCAGGGTCTGAACTGGGCCTGTTCTTGTCTTCTGAGGGACCATCCTCCTGTGTGCAAAAGAAAAACGTTGACTTCACCTGCGTTCAGGTTCCTGAAGCTGGGCCATTCACACACGGCTTTGTGACCAGAGGAAACCAACACCCCCTTGGCTGCCGTTCAGCCTGTCACCAGGGGCAGGGACTGCAACTGCTCGGGGACAGCAGCAATGCCCTCCTTCCTTTCTATTTAAGTATTGAGGGGGAAGATCTGGAAGGCACAGCAGAACTGGACGTGAACCCCTCTCGAGCTGAGAGAGACAAAGAAAAGCAGAGTCACAAGCCAGGAGGAATGCAGGAGGCAGCTGCCAAAACAATCACCGCGTGGCTTTGCCAAGGCATGTCAAAGCCAATCTGCAGGGGCTTATTTCATGCCCACTAATCTTTGCCAGTCAGTCGAGACAGCTAATGAGTATGGTTGCTTATTGCCATCAACACCTGCCTCTACTTACATGCAGACTTTACTCAAACGCCTTTCCATTGTGGGGACTCTCTGGTGGTATCACCCAGGTCCTGCTCAGAATCCCACCAGGGAGCAGAACAGACCGGACACCCATTGCACAAGCTCTAAGAACTTTTGATACAAAAAAAAACAACTGGACAAACCGAACTTCACAGTCATTGTTTGCCCTAGGAGCAAACTCATTAGTAAGGATGGTGAATCTCTTTACCTTCTGGTAGCTTTGCCTTTCCTGCAAATTGGTTGAATCTACGGGATTCAAGAATAGTGGCAAAGAGGAGGGTCGGCCTCTGACTTCTGGATTTGGAAGATCTTGCGTCTAGAAATAAGATGACAGCAGCATAAGAAGACAAGCACCTGATGGGCACATACCAACACATCCTATTTGTCCATATTTTACTTGGAATGGCTCAGAGAGGTTGTCTACATGGCATTTTTTCATAAATTGTCCTGCTTGCACTCTGAGCCAAGTAGAAGCAGTAGGGATGGAAGTAGCCTAGTGCTGAGGCTGAATGAGCAGGCCTGGCTGGCTGACAAAGTGACAAACTTGGGCCTGAGCTTCACCTACCAGAGCTTCAGCTGCTCCTACATTGACAGATTAGAGGTGGATCAGTTTGTAAAACAGCATGTAAATATAACCAAACAGCACACAGAAAGGATAACACACCAGTTTTCATTCTGAGGCATCAAAGGTGCAATTCATTGCAGCATAATGTCAATCATCTCCTAATTTCCATGTGGCTTACTCTTCAAAGAGACTCCTTCAACGTAAAAATCAATCCCAGCACAGACAGACTGTGCAATGCCTGCTTAGTGCATAAAGCCAGGGTACAGGATTCATATGGAAAATTAATTTCTGATTAACTGAGGCAAGAGCCAACTTGCAAGGCCAGAATCAGGAAATCAGGATAATTCCTTTGCACAGGTTTCTAATGAAATTACCAACTTCTTTCTTTCTACAAACAAGTGCAGTAACGTGTCACCTGAGGGCAGCATCCACCTCCTCTGGCCTCCCTGCAGATTGAAGATATCGCAGTGACCCAGTCCTCTGTTTCCTGCCTGTGGGTTGGAACAACAGACATGAAAACCTACTCCCAGGTAAAACACAAGAGAAAAACCTCCTTTGCCTGCCTGTTTCTTCCCATGGGGCCCAAAATAACACTCCCTGAAATCAACGGGGGAAATCTGCACCTTCCTTTCAAGAGAGAGTGCTGGGGTGGCCTGAGCCCCATGGCAAAGTTTGACCCCAGAGGGGTGTAGCCCAGGACTGGGAGCTAAAAGGTGTGCAGGGGGTTTTGTGGGTGTGTGTGTGTGCAAGAGACATGGAGAGGGAGAGAGAGACGGAGAGGTGGGACGGTGCCTTCTGCTTCATTTTCTGTGTGTGATGCTGCTCTGCCCAGTCCGGCCATAAAGAGAGCTAAGGAGGCTTGGGAAGCAGGAGGAGAAGCTGAGGGAGTTGGGACTGTTTAGTATGAGGAAGAAGAGGCTGAGGGGAGACCTCATCACTCTCTACAACTACTTGAAAGGACACTGTAGAGAGGTTGGTGCTGGTCTCTTCTCACAGGTAATTAGTGACAGAACGAGAGGGAATGGCTTCAAGCTCCAACAGGGTAGGTTTAGATTGAACATTAGGAAAGAATTTTTCACTGAAAAAGTGATAGGGCATTGGAACAGGCTGCCCAGGGAGGTGGTGGAGTCACCATCCCTGGCTGTGTTTAAGGGCCGTTTAGATGCAGTGCTGAGGGACATGGTGTAGGGGAGGACTTTGTAGAGTAGGGGAGATGGTTGGACTCGATGATCCCAAGGGTCTCTTCCAACCTAGATGATTCTATGATTCTGTGATTCTAAGCACCCCATGAAAGGGCTCCTGAAGCCCTGTTTTATGCCTGCGGTGGAGTTGGGTTCGTTCTGGAAGGGGGTGGCACGCTCAAGTAACACAGAGGTATGTGTTTTTCTTCTGCGCTTATCAGCGTTTCACACATCAGCTGCTCTTCTGCCTAAAGGCAGAAAAAAAAAAACCCAACATGCCTGAGGCTGGGAAACCCAAGAGGAGAAGCTGGGAAGAAGCAGCAGGGGAGCACTGTGCCAAATGTCCTCCCTCACCTAACCCAGCTTTGGCTGATGGTCTCTTCTGCCCTGGCTGAGGACAGGATTGCAGCCGGGGCGAGCAGGGAGCACAGCACCCTGCCCCAGGCATTCCTTCTGGGACCGGTTCTCCCTCGGGGGAATTTTCTCCTTAAATCTGCTTCCCTTGATTAGCAGCCTACTTTCCAGGGCAAGGTTATTTCCTGTGATTTATCCAGAAGGAGAAGCAGCTTTCCTAATTCCCAGGAGCCACTGGGTGAGAAGACAAAGCTCCCTGCTCTTCCTTGACCCTTAACTGGCATGGCTTGACATGGTACCACCAGGCTGATGTGCTGCCGCTGCCATTCCTGCCCCCAGCTGCATGCTCCCACCACTTCCACATGTTGGACGTTGTAGCCTGAACTGACAAAAATTAACTTGGCCACAGGGGTGAAAAAAACCAACATGGGAAAGAGCAGTTTTCCATTGGATCAACCAGTTTCATCCCAGGGCTGTGCCATCAGTAGCTGGGATGCAGGAAGGGATGGGAGCGGCTGTGGAGGAGCAGGACCTTGCCTTGAGCCTCAACTGTAATGTCATATTGTGTTCCCACAGCCCACTGTGCCCACCTGCTGCTCCCAATGAGGTAGTAACGTCTGTTTCCAGTGCTGACAGACATCACCTGTTCAGGAAGGCATTTGAACATCTTCCTCACCGTTTCCATAATTTCAGAATTGCTTATGCCAACTTCGATATTTATGATTCTGTTAAAACAACCACACGAAACGTCCTGTGTGACTATACATTAACACACGCAAACATATACACACACATATGTGTATGTGGGTAATTTACTCCAAGCACAGCACAGTATGATGAGATCTGCAGGGGAAAAGGTAAACATTTTTCCACAGAAAAAATTCTCAAGAAATGCACACATTTGAACCAGATGGTCCTTCAATGAAGAAAACTTCCAAGCAATAAAATAAAATTGACTTTTGCAAAGACTCGTGTACAGGCTTTGGACCCTCATTTCTGAAAAAAGGGATTGTTGGTCTAAGACAGAATCCAGAAGAAAAATGATGGTAAGAAAAATGCCTGGCATGTGTTTTTGAACCACTACAGAATAATACATCTGACCTGAAAATAATTGTGTATTAACAGTGTTTTAATGAGGGGAAGAGGAACAGACAAGAAGTACTCTTAATGGATACTTAAATGGAAGCACTTCTTCCACTAACTTCCAAGAAGTTAAATTAGTAAAAATAATAACAACAATAATGATGGTAATATCATAACCACATACCATTGAGCAAGCTGGAAGTTTTTTTCCAAGGCTTTACAATGTAAATTCTTTTAATAGAAGAATGAGTCCAGTGACCTCCGTGCCTAACCATTCCAGGAGGCTGGAGTGTTAAGCTCCAGGTCTGACTGGTAAAATCTTTACATTTCCCTTTATGTTTACTGTTTCCTTTCTATGTATCTCATACCACATGTGACATGGCAAAGGGTGCTGGTACAAAGCCAGTGACACCCAGACTTGTTGCAGTGGAATGAAATGACCAACCCAAATGAGCCAAGCAGAGCATTTTCTCGTTGGAGTAAGAGGCAGTGGGGCAGCCAGCACCAGCCCAAAGGGCTGCCCCAAAGCCAGGAGACCTCAGCACAACTTCCAAAGCACTTTGTAAAGCCATAAGGTGAGAAAGGTTATGTATCAGAGTTAAGAGTGGCATAGCCCATCCTCACGTGTGAGTGAATGCATAGCACCGTCCTCACAGGAGATAAAACACCTTCTACTCCAGGAATGCAGCTTTTGGGATCTCTGAGCCAAGGAGTCTGGTTTGCAGATCCCACATCACCACAGTTACTCACATAAACGTGTCAAATTTCATCTAAGCAATTTAGAATTTTCACTTCTACATACATCATACACTGTAAGTTGCCTCCAAAGCCTACCAAAGCTCAAAGGACTCTTTTCTGGGCTTCGGCAGGATTTGGATCAAGAAGCTCAGTCAGGAGCAATTGTTGATACAATCAGTGGCCATTTAAGGGTGCTGATACACCACTTAAGATAAAAAGGTGAAGCATTTGAATTACTTACTGGTCAACAGCTATGGAGCCTTTTATGTTCTGGCCTTTTAGGTACTTCAGGATGTAATTGCCCTTGCTGGATTTGCACAGGATGAAAAACCGCCTTTTCCAGGAATTCTGCCGAAGAGAAAGTAATTTATCTGTCATCGAAATTCAGGATAGAAGAAATAGCAGATGCTTGTTGAGGGATTGCTGGAATATGACTAATCCGTGCTAGCATACCTGTGAGTTGAAAAGCTGGAGAGGTGGTGATTTGATGAGGAATCCGTGCTTGCAGACTCCACCCTCGGGGAGAAACGTCTTTTGAGTTGTCACTATCAAAGAGAAATAAACAGTGCCATTACTTAATCTGTTGCCAATTAATCTCTTCCAGAGACCTGCTTCAACTGGAAATTGTTGCTGAACACTGGGTTTCTGAGCTTAAATGGCCATAAAGCACATCACAATTAGAGAAGACAAACACAAATCAAGGCTATAAATTATAGGGCCAGGTCGTGCTGCCCTGATGGCAAAGTCACTCCTGACAACTGGCCCAAACTGTAAACAAATAATAGTGCTTATGTATGTAGAGGGCTCAAAAGGTATTGTGAGCCCCTGCTTTATTTAACTGGTCTTATTTAACTTCACAATTAGTGATCTGAAAGCCAGTAAACAGCCCGCTGATGATATCTGCAGATTTGGATAGGTTGCAAACGCATTTAAGGAGAGATCATCTTATACTGTGAGTCATAATGAGACAAGAGGAAAAGCTCTTACACGTAAAATATGAGCTAAAACCTTCGGGGTGGGGGGGGGATGGGGAAATACCTGAATGTATTTATTCGCAACCCTGTGTACTCTGTGTCCAGCTGTAGTTTAAGATTCACATTTAATAATCACTGGTGGATTTCTGATCATAATCTCAGTTTTATTAATGCACTTCAACACCCAATGAAAGGACTGGTGATCTCACTCCATTTTTGAAGCTATAAAATGTGTATGGGAAATTAAGATTTTTTTAAGAATCCAGTGCCTGAAGGGAGCACAGTTTTAACATTTTTTACAAATGACAGTTTAACCCCCATGTCAGGGACAAGAAAAATTCTGCTATAAAGGGAAATGTTGTATTTAGGACAGATTCTTTCAGGAAGGAAGCAAAGGGGCAGAATTAACACCCAGCGTGAGCCCAGATGAGATCTGAAAATTTTTCAGTTTGCTATTTTCCCCTGGTTTTCACCTGTTGTTTACTACAGTATCCTTGGCAGGTGGAGGGCAAGGAGAACAGTACCATATATTGATAATGGATAATTTATAAGAATGGATTAAAACCTGATTCAACCTTACTAGTGATAAGTCTTAATAAACGAAGTTTTGTACCTGCAGAATTTCTTTTACTTGTCGAAGCCATCCTGATTGTTTTTTCCACTCTGATAGTTAAGACAGTAAAAAACCTTGAAGCTAATTCCTTTTGCTGTGCTTGCTGCTGAGCAGCATTTCACTGCATGCGTGGCGGCCTGAGAATATAACAAATATCTCACAAGTTTTTATTTTCATAGTGATGATAGAATTATGTAATATAAACATAGAACAATCTACAATAAACTATATAAATAATTACACTTATTACTCATTTAAGCATATTATTACACATCATAATATTTTATATTATAAAGTAAATTATACATTATATGCTGTAATATTATATCTATTCTACTATAATTAAATTATAAAATTGTGACTAGTAAGAGCTGATTTGCTGAGGAAGTGGTGAGACCTGCCAGCATCTGTAACCTAGGAATATTGCATCCCATATATGTTCCTGATGTTTCTGACACTGCCTTAGCAGTGTGATCAGCCTTGCATAAAATAGGCATAGCTTGGCCTAAAGAAGTTAAAATCTAGTGAGAAAATCCCATCATAATTCTATAGTTACTACAATAATTAGCAAGTCTGTAGCATTCATTAATACAATGCCTTCAGAGCAATTTATAAACAGAGATGAAATAAACTCCACCTTTTTTCTAAGAGGTAGATTGGTATTACGATTTTTCAGAGGGTTAAACAGAGAGTATCTGTTTTTATTTATGTCAGCTTATTTTTGCACTGTCTCCTCCAATATTGCCAGGGAAATGGGAATCTGTACTCCTCCCAATCAATCACATACACAGCGCTACATTTTGCACACTGAGCAGGTTTTTATCATCTCACAGTTGCTTCCTTGTCTATTTAAAATCAGATCTAGTTTCTCTCCTATGTTTGCATTTCCAATTTGTAATACCAAGTCTGTTTGTAACACTGTTTAGGAAACTTTTCAAGAGTTTCCCTTTGCCTTACCCCAAAACTCTCATTCCTTGCAAAATCAAATCCCTTCCTTTTAGTAACTTGGCTCGAAGTTGTCTGTTAGCTACGACAAGGTCACAGTCTCCAACCTGTGTCCCACCTGAAGCTGCAAAGCAGGAACCAGGAACAAACCAGGAACATTGAAGGATTCCAAGTGCTGCTCTCTAGCGCTTTGCTGAGCTCCCTGACCGGAGGGAGAGATTTAAGGGGTTTCCTTTGCTTCTGTTTCTGCAGCAATTTACTCCATGGTGCCAGAAGTAATGGTCAGGAGTGGTGGTCAGAAATGGTTGGCTACGTTCTGGCCTCACTCCCCTGATATGGGGTGGGTTACACACAACATTTTACCTCTGACACACACCTAAAACTACAGCCTTCCACACCTCCTGTTCCAGGCTGCACCACGCTGTAAATGAGAATGGGGTTTTTTTGGGGGGGGAATCTTTTGTGATTTTGCCTTTTTGGGAGACAGATTTGCTGTAGAAACACTGTGACAGACTGGTACAAAATTTGCTGCTAGGGTTTTCATCTATTGCCTACCAAAAAAAAAAAAAAGGACAAAAAAAGCAATTTCTGAAACAAAAAATGACTGCACACAAAGTCAATATTTTAGTGTCAATAGTTGCCTGGGGTTGCAATGAAAGGCAATGTAATATTCTTTTGAATGTGACTGACAGAACCACCATGACTGGCAAACGATGCAATTCTGGCAAAACAATGTTCCAAGAGCCCATGACAGGAGAAAAGTCTCTTCCAGGTTTCAGTAAAAGTCAAGATTTGCAGGTGGGAAGACAAACCCCCTTGAGATTACAGTTGTGCTACCTCACTCTGCATTTTGGGAAAAAGTTTTTAATTGTTGCATTTCATTGTCTTTTCTCTCCGATGGAAAGCAACATTTTAAAGAGATCATGTCTAATTCAGAACACACAATGCCAATTCCATGATTACACCTCCTCAGATTTTTGTATGCCTGGTATTAAAAGACTTGATTGCTTTCAACCTTTTGAAAGCAACTTCAGTCAAAATGCAAATAAAATGCTGCAAATGATTAAGATGAAGGCTATTATAAAACTTACAAAAATATAATACCAAGGTAAAGAAAACAAAGTGTGTTAATACTTACAGGTGTAGAAGGTCTTAGAGAAATGCACCTTGAATTATTTCCAGATGCCCTGGGTTCCTTCCTGCAGCAAAACACGGTGTGTCCCTGCCCTGCGTTGTGACTGCCTTCTTATAGTCCCTGTATAAAAACAAACACCTTGAAATATGACCCACAAGGAAATTCCTGTTTCTGCCACGGGAAGCAAATGAAAGACCGTTCTGAAAGGGGAAATCCAGAAGATTAATATTCACTTACAAGCAATCGAAAAAATATGCACATTTAAGGCAGCCACAAACGCCTCCCCTGCAGAAAAAAAGCCCGGAGACTGCTTGTTTTTGTTGGTTCAGCTTTCTGAACAGTCCCTTTATTTCCCCCGAGCTGTGTCTGAAACATCATATCCGTGACCAGAAGATAAAGCAACATTAAGAACCCTAAAAGATCGTAAAGTGCCATAAAACTTCCCCAGGCCCAGATTTAAAGAACAGCATTTACTAAAGCATCCAATGCTGAAGCAGGATTTCTTATGCCACCTACGTATTGACAACGTACTGTCATTGTAGGGTCAATGTCTGTCTCGTTTGTAGGTGAATAGTTTGGATTCTGTTATATGTTATATAATATTAATGCTTTTTGGAGGTGATCTAAAGTAATGTTGTGTCCAGCAGAGACACTGGTCCCAGCACAAGGGACTGTCTTTTCTCTCTCTTCTGCTGCCTCTGGAAGTTACCTTCCCTCCCTGGCAGTTCCTGCAGGTATTTTATGCTGATCTCTGGATATTTCACAGATCAGAACGAGTGCAAAGGTTGGTGGAGGTTCAACCTCACCTTCCTTGCCTTGGAAGTCAGCAGGGAGAATTCCCATGCTTCTTTGTGCCATACTGTCCCCTTTTCCTGGGAAACCCCAGGTCTACCAGGAGACCTCTTGCAAGAGCAGAGTGCGCCTTGTTTGCAGTGTTAGAGCACTGAAGAGCTTCAAATAACCCTATTACTTGGCCTTTTTTCTTAGACAGACAGCTACCATTTCACCTACTCACTGAAAATTCCCAAGCTGTCCTTATTTAGATTCTGTCATGGTAAAAAACCAACAAAATCTGATAAAGACCCACTTCATCCACCTTTTTTTTCTTTTAGACATTATGTCCCACAGGGCAAATAGCGTTTCCTATTCCTAGAGGAAACACATCAATATTGACCCCTCCAACTCTTTCTCAGCAGTCCCTCACAGGCTGGACCAGGGACTGTTCCTAGCAATTTTTCTATTTTCCCAATGCTTCTAAGCGAAGATAAATTTGCTGTAGCTATTTTGTTTAGATAAAATATCATTCTCAACCTTAAAGAAAAACACACTGTGCAAGAGGAAATGTTCTCCTTACCTGTTATGCTGTTACATTCCTTAGCATTATTTTAAAAACTTTAAATTATCTGTTTCAGAGCCTGAAACTTGCTGATTTTTTGTTCCCAAGGCTCTGGCTTCAGAGCTACCATGTATCTGAATATCTAAACTACTTTTCAACTGACACTGTAAACTCATGTTGAAAAGATTCCGAAGACCATCTGCATTCTTGCCTGAGAAAGGTTTTGGGATGTATTTTGGTTGGTTTCCACTTCACCAGATTGAGGGACAAACATGCAGTTATTCATAGGAAAATTAAAAAATGGTCTTTATTGATTTCATACATCCATAACACAATTTATTTAATTCAAACAGCTGTAAATTTGACTTATGAAAAAAATATATTCCTCACTATGTCACAGTATTTGTAAGAAAATAAACTTACTAATTTGATAACTTAGCTTTAATAGTATGCACTTATTTTCTTAGAAGATTTCAAAAGAGTACATTAACTGGGAAAAGGGTTTACAACTAATCATTTATCAGCTTAACTAAGTAATTAAACTTACTTTTTTGAGCTAGCTACCAACTTTGATATAGGCTATAGAAAGTAGGAATATAAACATCACTGACATAACTCCAAAATACAAATCCAAGACTGTACAGTAAATAAAAAGGCACTTCTGGTTTCCGATTCAAGCAAGTATTTCCATTCTTGGCAAAATTCCTCACAAATAGAAGCTAAGTTACTGGAACATATAATTTTATAATTTCAACATTAAATTTTAGTGTTTTATAACAAAGCCTTGGCTTTAACTTTCTGTTGGTTCAAAACTTGTGAATCAACAACCAGACGTTTTTATTTCTGCAAGGAGAAAAACTGCAATACCACTGTTTCAGGCCATTCTATCAGTTAATTGTAACTTGCAAGGCAAAAATCTTTACAATGGTGCTTTAATAAAAGCATCATCCAATTACTGTTTGCCAATCTTTTACAAAGTTTTTCATTTCGATTTTTCTCTTTGTTACATTTACATACTATTCATGTAAATCATCTACAAATATTGATTTTTTTTAATTTACCCATCTTATGCTAGAGTGATAACTAAGTAAATTGACTTCCAGATTAAGCACAGAGCAACCATTAATAATCATCTCAATAATGTTCATAAAAGGAAATGAATATATTAGACTAAGAAATACCCTTTTAAATAGCTACAAACTTTTTCATCACTGGACATACCCATAATATGATGGTCTTTGGAAATTTCTGAGAAGGTTATGGTTCCATGAGCTAGCAGTGAAAGAAAAGATGGAGTCTCACAATTTAATTATTTTGTTCTTAATTTACAATCTGTTTTCTGGAATAAACCTTTATGGGTCAGGTAGCTGACTCTCAGAACATCTTCAGTAGCCATAAATCATGACAGCCACACTAAGGGAAATCAAGATACAGTAATTAATATGAGCTGTCAGGTCACCCCACAGCATTTATTTCTTCTTTGAAATCTTGCATATCGTCCATCCATCAGATACCCCAGCTTATACAATACAAAATCTAGTGTAATTACAGTTCTGTTATTAAAAATGTGTTACTCCAGTTTATAATCAAATCTCCACCCAAAACCATATCCTGATCTTTCATCACTGGCTGCATTAAAATACACTTTCAGAAGTAAAGTTCCTTGGTGAGCATAGAGACCACGCAGGGAATCTGCTTCTTCTCACTGAAGCGTGGATCATCAGACTGGGATTCAAAATTTGTGGCAACCACGTAGTTGACCCGTGTGAGGATCTGCATGATCTCTAGTTGTTTGCCATGCTCGTTCAGCACAGAGCACAGAGATTGCACAAACCAGGAGCCTCTTCCAGGATTCCTCCAGGAGTAATAACCTTACAGGAAAGACAGATAAGAAAGTATATAGGGTTATCCTTCCACTTTTTTCTTATTATCTTGTGCTGAAGCATGGAATTGCAGAGAGATACGTACCAATTCGTGTGAAAGATTCTGGGCAAAAAGTTAACAATGCACACAGAGAAAGTTTAATTCTTTTTACTTGTGTCACATATCCTACTTCATTGAAGTGTAGAATAATGTGTGTTAACTGTCCAAACCTCACGCTACCGTAGAACCATTCTATACTTTTACATTTGGGAAACTGCAAGAAGATCTCATGTTTTTCCCCTCGAATAAGTTCCATGCTACAACTGTTCCTCTTCCTGCCTTCATCACATATTCCACATACTCGCTAAAGTGGAGCATGGAAGGGCAGGATTCTCAGAAAACACTACTGCCTCCACCATCTGTAATGTCTGTGTCTTCTCACCTGCCAAATCTGGGCTTTCCCCTGTTTCTGCTGTAGCTGCTGTAGAAGGGGTGATACAACACACTTGGCTCCGCTGGGCCTTAGTGTTTTGTTCACCAATGTACAATGTATCATTAATGAAGGTCAGTCTACGATCAAGTCAATATGGGTGATAAATTTTTAGGCTTCTGTCCCCACTCTGACCCCCTTTTCTTTACCTGGCACTGTGGAATACGCAAATAGAAAATCTGCTTCTACTGGGATTTTGTATCTTGGATTGGCATCTGTTTCCAGAGAGTCATTTGCAGGTCCAGAGTCAGTTTGTATACCATCATCAAATTCAGAGCCTCTGCACGCCTGAAAGCAGTGAAGGCAAAGAGAACTCATCCAATAAGGAGAAACAAGGTGTTATAAAAATAAGTATTCGTTAACATTTTTTAATGGAGACAGTTTTAAGCAGTACTTTGCACATCTTAGAAGCGGAAATCGCCTTCTGGGGACATCTAATTGTTCAATGATAAAGCTACTAGCTTTCCCATTTTAAAACATACATCCCATACTGTAAAGTCAGCATCAGCTTATTCTAACCATGATTAATTTTACCAGCCTAGAGTCATCCTCAGCACTCAATTATGACAGAATGTCTTCTGTATCATGATTTCTGGATGTTTTCATTAGACTGGACTCCACATTCTCTTTGGTTCCTGCCATGCACTGCCGTAGCACTGCAGTCCACAGAATAACAAATCACATCCTGAGATCATCCAGTCCAACCCCCCTCCTCAAGCAGGGATGGCTACAGCAGTTGTCCAGGACTGTGTCCAGTTGGGTTTGGAATATCTCCACAGATGGAGACTCTACAATCTGGGCAACCTGTTCCAGTGGTTGACCACCCATTTCAAGTATATTGCATTTTTAACATTTTTTCATTTCTCTTTTATTCTTAATTTCCTCTTAATTGTGTGGTTTAGCAAAAGGGCACACTGGGACCACAGTCCAGGTTGGAGAGTTTCAGTTCTTCATCAGTAGCTTTGACTGGCAGCTTTTGCAAAAAAATAGCTTATGTAACAGGAGTTGGGAGCCTTTAATAAGATAATTTTAAAGGCAACAAAGTACCCATTCCAGACTTATAATTAAAAGAAATATCTCTTCAGTAGTATGAAGAGTCTAAAATAGGCACAGTTTTCACTTTGAGGTTGAGGATTAATTGGTGGAACAGCCTAGGGAAAACCACATCTGCTGCAACTCCCATACGTACATAATACCATGATAAAAAAGAGAATTCAGACCCATGGTATGCCAGTTAATAATGTTTGAAACAGATATCTTCAAAAGCTTAAGTAATATACAATTAATTATTTGTTAATGCAGTAAGGCAATATACATTTTTAGGCTACTGAGGGAGAGAAAAAAATATTTCTTTTAGCAGAATGCAGTAATTTGTAGAGACAGCCTTTATTCAGAGAGACC